GGGAGGACCACAAGTTCAAAGCCAGCCTCTGTAACTGAGCAACACCCTAAGCAACTTAGAAAGACCTTGTCTCGAAATAAAAAAATACAAAGGGCTGGGGGTGTGTCTCTGTTATTAAAAGCCCCTGGGTTCAATCCCTGGTGTACACACACACACACACACACATACACACACAGTGTGTCTCTGTTATTAAAAGCCCCTGGGTTCAATCCCTGGTGTACACACACACACACACACACACACACACACACAGTGTGTCTGTTAGTAAAAGCCCCTGGGTTCAATCCCTGGTGTGTACACACACACACACACACACACACACACACACACACACAAAAAAAAAAAAAAAAACCCTGTGGAAAGCTGGGGATGTGGCCCACATGGCTTGTCTAGTATGAGGCCCTGGATTTAATCCCCAAGCATCACACACACACACACCCTTTGGAAATCATAAAAATAGACACCCTATGTTCCAGTGGTTATGTGTAAAAATGGTGATGTGGTTATGCAGAAGAATATTCTCAGAAAATGTGTTAAGTATTTGATTGAGGACCCACCCCCACCCCCCAAAAAAGATATAGGTAGAGAAATGACAAAAACTATCTACTCCCATCTACTCAAAAGGCTGAGGCAGGAGGGTTGTTAAATGCAAGGCCAGCCTGAACAATTTAATGGGGATCTAGTTAAGAGGTAGAGAGCCCTGGGTTAAGTCCCTCATACTATCAGGGAAAAAAAAAAAAAAATGCCATGCTGAAGACTAAAACTTTTAAGCCAGACGTGATGGTACACACCTGTAATCCCAGCTACTCAGAAGGCTGAGTCACTGCAGCTTTGCATTAACAAAAATATTTCAAGTCAGGTATGGTGGCTCATGCCTTTATTTTCTGCTGAGTCAGGAGAATCCCAAATTACAGGCAAACCTTATCAACTTAGAAACACCCTACCTCAGAATTTTAAAGAGGAGGAGGTAGGGACAGATAGTTCAGAAGTAAAGTACCCCTGGGTTCAATCCCTAGTACTGCAGTAAACGGAGGGATGGGGATAGGGATCCATGTTTTAGAGATTAAAGTTATATCCTGGATTTAGTATCTGGATTTTCTTCTATACCCCAATCAAATCCCAAGAGAAGAAGGTAAGGTGCAATCTTTTTTTTTCCCTTCCCCCTAGTTCACCACTGTAGAGAACTTGTTTCCATTACACCTCCATTCATTCATTCATTCATATCCACTCTGACTCATATTTCTGCGTGATTGGCTAGCCAGCTGCAGCTGATACAAAGAGCTAAGAATGGTGCTAGACTCTGGGGTTTCAATCAATTCTTGCCCCAACACTTGCAAGCCTTATCATCTAATCATTTTCTATCCTAAACATAAAGGATGTATCTTATTACCTAGTAATTAAGCACATAACCATAGTACATACGTATTACAATGGACTGTAGGTAAAGACTCGTAGAGTATATTCAATTCTTTTGCTTTCACACATACTACACTTGGGAGTTGATGTATTACTTAAATTTTACTTGACTTTCACCTTCACCATTTTTCAAATTTCCTAAAATGTTTCCTTTTAGAAATACCAACATGCCCATATGTTCTAAATTTTCTTCAACTACAACAGAAGCAAAGTAGTCCTCAAAATCTAATTCTATACATTGCATATTCTAAGGTCATATATAATTCTATGGCTACTGCACATGTGTCACTGAATTTTCACACTGACAAACAGGTATCCTTCCTGTATATTACTTTTAATAGAAACAGATAAGCCAAGTTGAAGAACGGTAAAAATCGAATTTGCTTGAAAGGTAGAGATATAAACAGATTCTTCAAATATACACAGATTCTCAAGTGAAACACTTACGTAATGAGCGTCGTCTTTTGTTCTTTAATTTCCTCCTTTTGTTCATTCCAGCCTTAGAAGGAGATTCTTCTTTGGCCTTTGGCTGGCTAGAAACTTTTGAGGAGTTCTGCTGACTGAAGTGTGTGGGTACGTGGCGAGCTAGCCCTCCCTGAGAAGCAAAGCTGGCATTGCAGCCACCAACAACACACTAAATAAAAATAAAAGAGAAAAAGGACATCAGGGATACTGTTTAAGTGATGAGAATTAACCTAGCTAGTTAATACTTGGTATTTTCAGAAATAAATCAGTGCAATGGAAATAATTCTAGAAAAGATACATGAGAGACTTCTTTTATAAAAGAAGTTCATTTTATACATAAAACAAAGCTATTAAAGATAACAATGTTTGTCAGTGGCGCAAGTGGAAAATACAACTCAAGCTTCATGACTCACCAGTCCTGCTACTCTTTCCACTACATGCAAGACAAAAAATGGTGACATGTTCTTCCCAGAAATATCTGATTTTGAATTAATCACTTTTATAAAAGGAGCAGGAAGTTATTTATCCCAACAAAAAATTACTGGGATTCCTAAATTTTTAAAATTTCTTACCTTAAGATATATGCTACTTCAAAAGCTTCACCAGCTTCCCTACTATTCTGTAGTGTTGTTACAGGTAGAAGAGAAATTTATTGATCTTTAAAGAATTTTCTTATTAGCTGGGCATTTACTTGAGAAGCTGAAGCAAGAGGATTGCAAGTTTGAGGACAGCCTAGCAGTATATTGAGACCCTGTCTCAAAATAGAATTTGAAAACAATGACTGGTGATGTAGCTCAGTGGTAGAGTACATGCCTAGCATATACAGGCCTAGGGTTCAATACCCAGTACTCCAAAAATAATGATTTTCTTATAAATTTGCTCAGTGTTGGACTTTTGTG